CTGGTAAGTTCCAGTTTAATAGCGAGTGCATGTGGTGTCTGTCTCTCATTCTTTAGATACCTCACGTAGGATAAGCATCTGTGGTTCCACCCAATGTAAGACGCATCAGTTCATCCCTCTTCATGGCTGAGAGTATTCCATAGTACACACAGACCGTGTTTTGTTAATCCACTTGTGGGCTGATGAGCACTTGGGTGGATTCCACATCTTTGCAATCATGAATTGGACTGTAAGATACATCCAAGTCTTCCTGATAAAATGATTTCTTTTCCTTTGGGTACAGCCCAGCAGGAACATCACTGGATTCCTGATAGGTCTGCTTCTACTTCCTTGAGGAGCCTCCACACTGCATTCCGCAGAGGTTGTACTAACGTGCAGTCCCTCCAACCCTGTGTAAGCATTCCTTTCTCTCTGCATCCACACCACCTATATTATTTTCATCTTATAATTAGAGTAATTCTAACTGAGGCATAGTGACAACTCATTGCAGTTTTACTTTGCATTTCTGTAGTTATCAGTAATGTACAGTTTTTCTATATATTTTTTATTGGCCATTTGTGTATCTTCTTTTGGAAAACTTCCATTTATATCTTTCCCCCACTATTCAGTGTTTTTTCTTGCTAATTTCCTTGAGTTGTTTGTAGGTTCAGGTTATTTCCCCAAATTGTTATTAGAATATAGATTGTGAATATTTTTCCCACTGTGTCAATTAACTGTTTGCTCTATTGGTTATTTCCTTAGCTATGTAGAAGCTTTTTGATTTAATGAAGTCCCTTGTATTTATACTTTCTGGCTGTGATTTCTATCAAGAAATTCTTTCATTGATGTGACATTCTCACCAGGCATAAATTGACAAATAGGGTCCCCAGAGTTCCCATTTGAGGAGTTAAATAATTTATTAATGAGTTAAAATAAAGAGGATGATTCTGAAAAGACTGAAGTTTGAGTCTATAGAATAGGTGGGCAAACTAGGGAGACAATTTGGCTGGTAGAAAGGGCACCTGTAGACTGGTGGGTCCTTATCATTACTTTCCACCAGGGCTTGAGTAAGAGAGAACCACAGAGCCTCAAAGTAGAGAGTTGTCAGTGGATGGCACAGGCACTCTGATAAACCAGTTTCTCTAAGTCTAATGTGTAAGAGGTGACATGGGTACAACTGAACACAGCAGCAAACATAGGGTCAGAGTGGCCCTGACCTGGCTGAGGCCAAGTCTCTCAACCCAGCCATAGGATAGGCTAGGGAGGGCTCAATAGACTAAGAGATCGTAAGTAAAGGGTTGTTTTCCAGTCAAGTGAAATACGAAAGAACAAGTCAAGCAAATGGTGGTCATTTCCACATCACTTATCCTCTTCATGACAGAGTAGCTGCAGGTCCTCCAGGACTCATGAGCCCACAGTCTTCCTGCTTCCAGAGATGGCAGGAGTCTGCTCGATGTGCCTCTTAGACCTGAGTGTGCTGTGCCCCCAGCTTTAACCAGAGAGTTTAACTGAGGAGTGGGGAGGAGAGCAGCACCTTAAATGACCTCAGTTCCCAGGCACAGTTCATCTTTAGGCCCTTTTTCTGTTCACATCTGCAGGACCCCTGACCTCTTATGCAAAGAGGAGGTACGGCCCTGTCTGTGGAGGAGGAGTGGTCCTGCTGGAAACAGACTCATGAACAGAGGTCAGTACAGTGCCTGGCTTCATGACACAATTGGCAATGATAAATCTCCTCATGTGTCGGTTGGTTGTTGCACCAAGGCAGGAACCAGGAATGGCCTCCAATGTAAGATTTTAAAGGGGCTCAAACTTAGCCTGCCTTTGGGAGTCACTCTAACCCACAGCAGGGCAACTGGCAGCATCTCACCCCCAGTCAAATAAGTTTCCTGATGTATTTTTCCAGTGTTTCCTTGTAAAGTATGATTTACCTCTTCAGTTTGTCTCACCAACCACAGTTTCAAGAGGAATGTAGGTTTCAGCTAATCTGTGATGCTTTGCACACTTGTCAAGTATGTTAGAAATGAAGGAAGGTCCATGATCACTTTGAAGGGTATTGGCAGAGTGTTGTAATTTGCTCAGCAGAGAGAGAAAGTTGGACCCCACTTCAGATGCAATTAATCAATAAGAATTTATTATAAATTTAATACACCTGCAGGGGGCTGATGCTGTGGAAAGCATGCAGCAGAGAGTGGCAAATTAAGGGGACTTATGTACTGTTCATTTGCTGAAGCAAGCAAGCTTGTACAAAAGCCAAATCATTGCGGTTAGCACAACTCAACACAGCTCAGGGGTCACAAGGTTAAGGTACATGCATTAGCTCATAACAACTCAGCATAACTCAAGGGTCATCAGGCAGGGGTACATACATACTCATAAGGGGTAACACAACTCAGGGTGGGGGTACATGCTGACTTAGCTCATAAGCAAATCACATTGGGAGTTACAAAGTTCATGGCAGAGGTACATGAGTTGAGAAAGTTTCCAAAGAACTCAGGACCTTCCACCAAGGCATCTCTCCCTGGGTACTTTCTTTTCTCCAGGTCTCCTCTTAGAATTTTATCTTTCCACACTTATGGGACTGGGACTAGGGGGCTCAGAAGAGTTTTCCTTTTCAAGGGTAGGGGCTTGTTCCCCACTGGTCTTAGCAGGGAATCAAGGGGGTCTGGTCATCACAAGAGTAAAACTAAAATTCCACATTCACCTCAGGTGCATTTTTCCTTAAGTTTCTGCTGGTCAGTGTTTCCACTGACATGAGGGATTGTTAAATGTACTGTGAGATGAATTGGTTCTCATATACACTGGTTTCTGTCCATGTGCAAAGGTTTTGAGTAGAGTAAGTTTGGCCACCTCCAGACACAACCACTACCCTGACCCAGAGCAAGAGCAGAGACTTCCCTGACTTCTGAGTCTGAGGAGGGAGCTGGCCCTGCCCACCTCAGAGCCTGCAGAGACCCCGATCCTTACTCCATGTATCAGGTGCTGCCCCATGTACAGGGAACTCAGACTGCTCCCTCTGCTGACAGTGAATCAGGTCTGATTGTGAAGCTGAGAATCAGAATGCTTGAATTTTATTCTGACTGTTACCTTCCTCAGAGACCAAGGTGATAATCCAATCTCCCTTCCCTTGACATCTGTTTTTCATTATTTATTATTGCATTTTTGTGAAGAGTAAAGTTTTATCACATATTGGCCTGAGACTATTCTCAAAATCTACTGAATTTTTCTTGGAATGTCACATACTGGACAAAAATGGGTTTAACATTCTTACCAAAATCATGTGTGTTTGGAAATTTCAGTGTGTTGTTCTGAACATGAGCAACTGAACTTCTCAGTTGACTTTGAAACACGTCTATGTTATGATGTTTTATAATCATCCCTGTTTTCTTCACTCCTTTGTGTCTTTGAAATTTGGTTTGCATAACTTCCAATAACATTTTTGAAGCCCCATCTTCACTTTCAGGCTGAGCCAACCCCACTGCTGAGTGTGCACAAGGCTCCTTCTATGCAGAGCACAGTGCTTCTGACTGTCATGAAACTCCATGATATTAATGTTTCCATCTGTCAGCAGAGTCACTGTCCAACCCTGTGGTCTTCTCATGTTGTCATGTAGAGATTTTACTCAATATGCTCATTAATTAGATAGCTCTAAGTGCTCTGTCATTTACAATCATATTCAGATCATTTGTCTACTTCGGCAATGGTCTTTCTCTCTGATGTATCTTGTATTCACATCGATAACCAGATAGGCTGTGAAGGACAGTTGATGTTGCCTTGTTAGTTTATTGGACCCATTTCTGCCTGTAGTTTCTCATATCACATCTTTGCTAGGCACTTAGTTAACAGTTTGCCTGGACCTCCTCAGAGGTACCTGTGAAGTCTATATTTGCTCTGGAGACCAGGGTTGAATCTGTTCTTTCTGAGTCCATCAGAGACTTCAGATTCCCCAGTGACACCTTGTCTCTGTTCCCTGCTTGGCTTCGTGTTCTTCCCTGTACTCTCTTACAGAGGCTCTATCTGTTCCAGCTCTTTCACACACACTCCAGTATGAGTCTTACCTGACAATTGTCAGTGTGTGAAAGGTGTGGGACTAAAGTCAGAGTCTCTGACCTTCTCCTGAGCTGTGATTCTAGGCAGGCATCGGGACCCTGGGTCTGGGTGCTGCCTTCCAAGTGCTGCTGTCTCTGCTCTAGGTGAGCTGATGGCCCCAGTTTTCCTGTCCCTCCTCCTGGGCAGAGCATCTCTCGTTATTATTTATAGTTTTCTATCACAGAACTAGTGAGGGACACCCCCTTTAAGTTCCCAGGAGAGTGGGCCTCCCTCACTGCCTGCTGGATCCTCAGTGCAGCCCTTTCTGTGCTCCAGGATGGGGTTTGCCGTCCTCCTCAACCTCCTCCTGGCTGTTCTCCCAGGTCAGTTCTGGCTCAGGATCTGGGGTCACAGGAGGGGTGGGTAGGAGGGGCCCTGATCTCAGTCCTGCTTCTCACACACAGGCGTCTGTGCCCAGGTGCAGCTGGTGCAGTCAGGGGCAGAGGTGAAACGGCCCGGGGAGTCTCTGACGATCTCCTGCAAGCCATCTGGATACACCTTCACAAGCTACTGGATGCACTGGGTGCGCCAGAGGCCTGGGAAGGGCCTGGAGTGGGTGGGGAGAATCTATCCTGGTAATTTTAAGACATACAAGAGTCCGGCCTTCCAAGGCCACGTCACCATCTCCACCGACAACTCCATCAGCACCGCTTCCCTCAGGTGGAGCAGCCTGAAGGCCGAGGACACCGCGGTGTACTACTGCGCTAAGGACACAGCGAGGGAACTGCAGTCCAGACACCAACCTCCTGCGTGGTGCGGCCGCCAGAGGGCGGCTGGGACAAATGCGCGGAGTTACCCGCGCAGGTGCAGGTGGACTCAGCCCTGGTTTCTGTAGGGAGGCGGTTTTCTCTCTATAAAACAGCTTCCACAACGTCTCTGGATTGATGGTTCTGAGCTTTCCTCCAAAGTCTCTGATTGAGATATGTTTCTGGTAGTAAGAAAAAAAAGTCTCCAATGCACAAATGGCACAGAGAGGCTTGTAGTTAACAGGGGTCCTCAAACTTTTTAAACAGGGGGCCAGTTCACTGTCCCTCAGACAGTTGATGGACCAAACTGTGGGCACCGGGACAAGTCGGCTGCTAAACAGGACAGGCAGCAGCGG